TTGAAATTCTTCTGGGAGTAAAATTTGAGCTGAGCTGAGAAGAATGAGCTAAGAAGAACCTGTCACCTTGCTTACGAATTTCCTCAGACCTCCATGAAAGGAGAGGAAGCTGCCTCCATTGGCAGGACTGGAAAACCCTGGAAAAAGCCCTGGGAACCTTGAGAAAAGCAACCTCAGGTGAAGTCTGGTAAGACTGTGACTTTGATGAAGCCTGCATGGACTGGATATTAAAAAGCTCACTCCAGGCTGTGGAGTTTTCAACAAAGCCAACAACATTCTGCTTGGTTATTCTGCCCTGTAAGTTTATGCAAATATAGGTAAAATTATTTAAATTAGATTTGGTTTACTATTTTACAGAATTGGGATGAGAGTAGAGAAAAATTATGTCTTACTAACTATATTAGTCTCTGGCCCGCTTCAGTTAGGGCTGTATCCTAAATGTCATCATCTTGAGGAAGGGGAAAAGTCATCCCTATTACATTTAGGACTATGATATGTTATATAACTTATTGCTGCCACATTGTCACCAAAGCCTTAATAGCATGTCGGGAACTGTGGCACCAGCAAGGGCAGGCCTTCCATAGTAAACCCTACCACCACCACGATGACCCCATTCAGCAGCAAGCAGCCAGAAGATGCGACGCCCCTTTCTCCCATAGAAATGGAAGGTCATAACAGAGTGGGGATTATGATGCAGTTAACAAGTTTGTCTTTGCTGTATTTCTTGCAATTCCTCCCTTGTTTGATATAGGTGATGCCCTGTGAGAAACTCACAAGGGCATCAAATGGGGGAATGATATCCAAGAAGAAGGGAGTCAAACAGCAGGGCCAGCTGGCGCCCACCCATCTCTGTGCTGATCCCTTCCCCCTCCCCTTTGCAGACCCTTTTCCACCTCCCCCCTTTTTTTTTTCCCCTTTGTAAAAGTCTCAGGTTCCACCCCCTTGGGTGCATCACTCCGAAGTGAAATGGGCCCTACAAACCAGAAAAAGGACACTTCAGCCAGCGGATGGACAGCAGCTTCTGATCCGGAGAATCCCCTTTGCTTGAGGCTACAAATGAATCAACCCACCAAGGCGGCGTTAGACATCAAGCCCTGCTCCGGCCACACTCGGGAAGCTGGTCTGTCTACGCACGGCAGAAGCTTGAGGACCTTCTACACGTGTGACCTCTTGCTTGTTATTTTTACTGTTCCTGTAGTGACTGTCTTTGCAGTCCGCCTAGCCACGGTTGGGAGGCACGCCTTCTTCTTGCCTTAGGCTACCTGATACTGTGTGTGGACATAATTGTTTTCAACTGTTTGCTAAAATGAGCCTGCTTGCCAGAATCATCCTCCACCTGTTCCTCACCCTCTCTTCTGTATGTGAGGACTTATCTCCCAAACCCAGAGTAACTGCAATTAAGCCGGGGTTTGTACCCAGCCTGACAAAAGGGCTACAAAGAACAAGGGAGCTCTCTTGTCTCCTACCACCTTAGGCTTCTTCTGGTCCTTCCCAACAAACGCCTATGTTCCAGCTAATCAGTGCTACACACATGGCTCTCAACCACTCAAATGCAGCTCTTGCTTCAGATTGCAGGATTTGCTTAGGGCCAGGTCCTACCCAGTATGAGGGAGTCATACTTGACCCAGGTTTGTTCCCTCCAAAGGTCTCATCTAACTCCTCGTCGAATCTTATCCTAGGTCCTGTGTCTCTGTGGGAAATGCTACAAACCCTTTGACTTTCACTTCTAAGATCTGTGCCACACAGATGGCACTTACCTGGACTGTACTCAGGGAGTGTATCAATGTGTTACTCCACACAAACAATCATGCTTTGTTGTAAATTTGATGCCTAACTTGTCTGTTTAGCTAAAAGAGATACACTTTCAATGTTAAAATCCCCTATTCGGATTAAGAGAGTCCCCCTGACCATCCCAGTTGTAGGGGCCGGCTGACTACATCTGGAGTGGCTGAGTTAAGAGTGCCTCAAATCCATCATAAAGGTCCGGGTGGCTGACTCAAGTCGAATTTTAATGCTCTCCTTTAGATCAGTCCTAGCTCTCCAACGCCAACTTGACTCCTTGGCAGCTGTAGTGCTCCAGGACTGGCAAAGACTAGTGGGCTTGCTCACCACTGCACAAGAAGGTATCTGTATGGCAGGGAAGAGGCCTGCCCTTAATAATTGGGGTTCCCTTAAAAAAAGAAATATAGGTGATGCCCTGTGAGAAAAATAACTCACAAGGGCATCAAAGGGGGTAATAATGAGAAAATATATTGAGCAAATGAATTAAAATAAAGATTCCAGTAGTACTTCCAGCCCAGGTGCAATGAACACTCCAATGCAGGCATAATCAACAAGTTTGCTTACTTACAGCTCCTTCCCTTTCAAGACTCATGGTCAGGGCCTCAGCACTCTTACCTACAAGGTTGGGCAGCCGGCCAAGCTGGTCTCTCCAAGGCCATCCCCAAATGCCTGCATCTTTCCCCCCTTGTCTGGGGACTTTGCTGAAAATGGTTGTGCCTGCTGAAAAACAATGTTATCAATGTAACAGATATGGTCACAGTTGTGTGTAAAAGGAACCCTTGGTCTTTAAACGGGTGTTCAGACCTTATGGGGCTACCCAGGTCTGGGACTTCATGCATAAAGTAATAAAGCTGCTCCTGACCTCGCCATTCCTGAAGTATTGCTTATTCTTCCTCTGCCTGGGTAAAAGGCTAGAATTCATTTCTACAACATGAGAGGTCTGCTGCGCCATGTGGGTAGCTCCCTGGCCAGGGATTGAACTCGTGCTGCAGTGGCTGCAGATAGCTTCATAGGTTGTGTCTTAACCCCTACGCCACCAGGGAGGCCCATTTTTCTTACATTTTTATAGTGTTTTACCTCAGATGCTGAACATATTAATAGATACTCTTAGGATTATATATAAAAATGTAATTTTGACTCACAAACTGAGCAACCTGCCTAGAAAACCCCAGGCTAGAGAAGCTGGTGTGTGCTGTTAATTTAGGCCTTGAAAGACCACAGGTTCTTGTCCCAAAAAGCTATGAAAAGGAATTCACAGACTTTTTAGGCAAGTAAGCAAAGAGAAGCATACTTTATTCAAGAAAGTACAGAACAGTTTATTTAAAGGAGGAAAGCAAGAATTCCCCGGTGTGCTGTACCTGGGATGGGTAAAAAAGCCATTATGGGTCCATGTCTAGGGGTATTTAAACTTTTTCCTCTACTCTAGAATCTCATCCTACTTTGTGACTCTCTCTCTCTCTCTCTCTCTCTCTCTCTCTCTCTGTGACCACATTCCTCCAGGCAGATGTGCCCATTTTCCCAGCTCTTATTTTAGAGTTTCTCCTTTACCTGCCCTATCCAATCTCTTTACAGTCCTCATTAGCTTAAAATTTAGCCTTAAAATTTACTGCCTTCATTAGCCCTCCTGGATTTCTAACCTCATCTCTGTGATACAGTCACAAATGACCAGCCTCTTAGATAGGCATTAACAAATTTGTCTTTCTCGTATTTCCTGACAGGTTTGTCTTTGATGGGCATTAACAAGATTGAGTGTTTATCTTTCCCCCATTTGTTGCAATTTCTCCCTTGTTTGATAGATTTATCTTTATGAGCGTCTCACAGATGAGCACTCCTGCATTTCAAATTTCAAGAAAGTTAAATGTCAGCTATTGAAGAAAAACAAGCTGGTGCCCACCTTTCTCAGTGCCGAGCCCTTCTCCCCTCCCCTTTGCAGACCCTTGTCCATCTCCACTTTTTTTTTCCCTTTGTATAAATACCCCTGCCCTCTGCCAAAGGGCAGGACGCTTGTCTTTCAGACATGAGTCTGCTGCCCTCCTCATTTGTGGACAAATTAAACCACTTTCCTTTTCCTCAAACTCTGTTTCCTTTCATTGGCTGAGGGAAACAGAGACCGGAGTTTGGTATCATCTGGAGTATGTTTGCTTAGCCCCTCCTAGAACTTACTGTCCTTATCTCAGAAGCCTCTTTATCTCTCCCAAAGTCCCTGTCTGTACTATCCCTGAAGCTGCCTACTTAACCCTAACTTGCCCCAGGAATCACTAGTAAGCCCGCCCGCTATAAATCAGATCTGCAGGAAGCTAGATTGCTAGCTTTAGTAACAACCCAGGAAGCAAACAACGGTTACTGTTAACATTTGGCCCCAGATGGCCACGACATGATTAATAGCTGTCAAGTTACCCTAATATTTGTCTCCTTCCACCACCCGCTCAACCAGAGAAAGCCTAATCACGGCCCCTTTTCAATCATTGACTGCAAGGGTAATCAATGACTTAAGGGATCACCCAGGATGCCCCACTTCTAAGTATAACCTTCCGACTGCTTCCCAGGCCGACAACTTCCAATCTGGGCACACCTGAAAACTACCCCTATTTCCCACTATCAATCTTTCCCACGCCTTTGCTTGCCTTTGAGTTTCTGCCAAAATTCAACGCTTATTTCCTTGTTATAGCTTCTGTTTTTCTCATTTGGCTGGTCTTCCCATATTTCAACACACCGGGAGAAAAATGAAAACACTAAAGTCCAAGCAGGGGACCCCCACGCAGTCCTCCAAGCACTATTTCGGGGCCGAGGGCTTCCTGTGTGCACAGAGGTTGCCAGGACGCGCCACCGGGACAGCGGGGGTAAGGAGGTCGAGAGGTTCCGGACTAGGATCGGGTCGTGGGAGCGAGGACACAGGGGCCACCGGTGGGGAGCACGGAGAAACGCGAGCGCAAACACGCAACCGCGGCAACCACTCTCTTGCAGATTTAAGGTCCCGGCCTCTGAGCATCCAAGCCCCGCTGCGTGCGTGGAGCGCTTGCGCACGCTCTCGGCGCACGCGCACTCTCGGCACCACGCGTCGGGCTGGAGCCGACGTCACGTCCGGCGTTGGCGGCGGCGGCGGCGTTGGCGGCTGCGCAAGTGTCCGGCGTCCGGGTCCCGGGGCGCTTTGCTGCGAGCCGGTGCCCCGCCGTCTCCATCCGGTCGCCCCGCCCGCCTCTCCGGCGCTCGGCCTCTGGCCCTGGGGGGCCTCACGGCGGCCGACTGCCCCCCCCGGCCGGCCAGCGCCCGGGCTTTTTCTGCTGCCTCCCTCGGACCACTTAGTCTCAACCTCCGTGTTGTTTCCAGTACTAGAGGTGAAGCACCACAGGGAGAGCGGGACCTGGGGTCTTGGACCTCGGCGTGTTTACCTTTCCTGGCGGGAATGTAATGTGCAGTATTTTTTTTGTTTGTTTTTTTTATTCCAAGAGGACGCGTTTGCGGTTGCAGTGCAATCTGGGAAAGTTGTTCTTAGACAACAGGCACCGTATCAGATGCTGCTTTTAAATAAACCATCGAACTCAGTTGTCCTTTAATGCTTTCGAATTTTCTTTTTAAAAATAATTGGGCCCGAATTGGTCAGAACTTTTGGGATTTTTCATTTTAAAAGAATCCTAACCTTTCCTGTGAATAAACTTGAGTAAACGCAGGGGCGGTCCTTTCAATAAGAAAGGACGTAGGCTGTCTGGAGCTCAACATCCCCTGGTCACTGGGGACATTCTAGGATTTGTAAAATCGGAGGAGCTATTTTTGCACGACTCTTTAAGCATTTGGGTCAGGCGGTGAAGTAGTTTTTAGAAATTGCATCACATCCATTCTATTCTTAAAACACCATCTTAGCACGACCTTTTCCTAACGACTTGTCAGTCTTAACGAAGGTTATTGTGAAAGAAGCTGAGACCACTGAACTTGATACCAGATTTCAAGTCATTTCTCCTGACTCTTGTATCCCTTGTCAATCAACTACGTTTCTGTTTCTTTTCTGATTGATGTTTTCATGCTGTTACTCTATTGTGGGTTTTTAGTTTTGATAATTGTAGTTGATAGGGTTGTGTTAAAAGGAAAAGACAGTGAGGAACTTGTGGCTTTATTTTTTTTTACACCAATTTTGTGTCTTACAAATTGCCCATTTTAGAAAGCACAGACAGACAAAAGGAAGGAAATTAAAATCACCTGGAATCCTATCTAAAGAAAACCATTGCTAACATTTGAGAATATAGTCTAAGTTTTCATGTTATCTGGAAAGAAAATCATGGTACACTGCTAGGTAACCACCTTTGCATGACATTTTGTCGGTATTCCTGTTCCACTATATATATTTTTCTGTTTGCATGTGTAATGGGCCAGTGTTCTCATAAGTAGGAGTCTTACCGTATGAATCTTGTGCCATCTATTTTAGCAGTTCAGAGGATTTTTGTATCTTCTTTTCTGGCCAGCATGCTTAGGTAAGCTGGGGTTAGAGTTGTGTAAAAGGAAAGATTTAATACTGAGTTTTATGTAAGGGCAGACAGTTTATAATATGTCAGACTAATGAAAAAGTTTGAGAAAATCACTGAAAAAAAATCCAATTCTTCAATCTTTGTTTCTAGGCTCACTTTATCGCTTCTTGCTGTCTTTTCTTCAAGAATGCAACATGACTGAGGATTCTCAGAGGAACTTTCGTTCAGTATATTATGAGAAAGTGGGGTTTCGTGGAGTTGAAGAAAAGAAATCATTAGAAATCCTCCTAAAAGATGATCGTCTGGGTGAGTTTTGCAAGTTAAATTGAGCTTAGTGGTTTTCATCTGTCCTAGGTGTTCTGAAATCAATGTTAGCTTAACAGACATTCAAAAATATTGCTTGCGTGCTGTATATTTTAGTGGTAGGCTGACAACAGAACAGTATATTCTGAGAAAAATATTTGAGTTTATATTTAATTGAGACAGAGCCCAATGGTTTTGGAGGGCCTCTTAGAAATCAGTAATATTTTCCCTATTATTAGACCCACATATTTCCTTTTTTCAATTTTTAGATAGGTTATCATAAGCTTCTGGTAAATTTGCAACAGCTCTTGCCATGGTTTTGTTTTATAGAAATACTGAGATTGCATTATGTTTTGACATTTTAGTGTCTTTTAAGTCAGTACTAATAAGATCTGTACTGTTGCGAACTAAAGTAAAGTAAACAGAACCACAGTTAAAAATAGTGCTTATATTAGTAGAATACTTTTAAAGTTTCAAAAACATTTCCCACCTGATCTTTGATCCTCATTAGACAGACTATATTTTTAGCATGTCTTGTATTTTTCTCATTTGCAAAGCAGTGTCTTGGGATCCAGGATGGTTGAGTGTGAGTTACTGGGAAAGCTGGGGATTTGAGGACTATGTCACTCATGAAGTAACTGCTTTGAGTTTTAATGTCTGAGTCTTTAAAACAATACTTGCCCAAGGAGCTTGCATTGCGGAGTAAATGAGATAAACTCTATAAATAATAGCTACTGCTAATGTTATAGGGAATGTAATAATATGTGCAAAAGTACCTCCTATGCTGTAAAATATGAGTTGTTAGTGAGTTGGTGGAACACCTGGACTAGAAATCTGACCTTTGTTGCCTTTTCCGGTTTTCAGAGACTTCCTTTGAAGAAATTTTTTTTATACTTTCAATTTAAAAAAATGAATGCATTTTTAAATTTTGTGATCAACATGAAAAGTTTCTGTTTTTTTCTTCCTCTAGATATTGAGAAACTCTGTACTTTTAGTCAGAGATTCCCTCTCCCGTCCATGTACCGTGCGTTGGTATGGAAGGTGCTTCTAGGTATGACACTGGGAGTTGGAAGATTTATCTTCAAAATGTTGAATGATGGGATCTTCTTATCAGTCAGAAAAGATGGATTCGTGTAGGACCTTAATGAATGTAATGTCTACCTTTAGGAGACTAAATTACTGCACCTTTCAGAAGGTGACTTCAGTGGTGGTAATAAGTATCACTTTAAAAGAAGAGAAAGTAATGGGTGTTGCTGAGACAAGGTGTGGGAAGAGCATTGGACTGGGAGAAAGAACTAGTCTAGGTTTTGCTGCCAGCTGAGTAACCTCAAGGAATACTCTCTGGGCCTCACATTTTGCATCTGTAAAATGAGGCTTTGAGTTAAGTTGACTCCTAGATTTTAGCTTTCATTTTGTTAGATTCTGTGATTTGGAAGTATGGAGGTATAAATTCCTAACAAGTCAAAAAGAAATTGGAGATTTTTTACTTCTTCAAAGCACAACTGAATGAATTCCAGGTGTGAGTGGCTGAAGAAGGGAAAAACCTGTTACTCAGTTACTGTGAAAAGTGTAGTAGGTGCCACAAGTGACCGGCAGCATCTCTTTGGAGCTGAGGATTTTTTTTTAAATCATTGTTGAGCTTGCTGATGCCTAACTCAACCATTACCACTTTTCTTTTCTTTGTTTCTAAAAAAAATCGGAGTAAGCCAGGAATGCTCTTGCCAGGTAGGTGTTATTCTCCTGGTTTTGCAGATGGCGACTGAGAGGCTAATTAACTTGCTGAAGCCTTTATAGCCTGTAAGTGGCAGAATAGGATTTGAGCTCAGGATTGTAGAGCTCCCATGAAGGAAAGACAAATTGTGGACCTCTTTTTTTTTTGTTTTCCTCCCAGAAATTTTTTTTTTTTTTTTTTTTTTTTTTTTTTTAGGACTTGCAATAGCCACGGTACAGTTGTGATTATGTAATGTAGAGACAGCAAGGGAATACCAGCTGCACTAGGCAGCCCTGCACAATGACTTTTCTTTGTGCATCTCGGCAGTTTTTGTATGCTCTTATTTCTAGGTTACTGAGAAGTTACAATCTAAAAGATGGGAAACAACTATTTTAGTTTTTCCTCTGTGCATTTTTTCTTACATCTTAATGTTTACAGTGGCCATCAAAATAAAAGCCCTCCAGGGAGACCTTTCAGGTGGGAATATTGTTAATATTTCTATTTCTGCTGGGAAATACTACATGTCTTATTAATAGTGCCAGTGAATCAGCGGGAGATGTACATTGGTACAGTGTGACCCTTCCTGAGTGCCAAGGTCTGTCTGGTGTACTCATTACTTCTGTTATTTCTGCCTTTATCAAGTAAATCTCTTTGTTTTGCAGTATAGACAGTAGAGAATTAGAGCTGTTCTGTTATATAGGAGACAGGCTGACTTCCTAGCACAGGTTGTTGATTACCTGGGAACCTTGACAAGCTAGCTAGCTCATACTACTTTAGGTAAACACCAGAAAGAGACTTTTTAGAATTAGCTCTTAGAAAGCAAGTTTGACGTTTAACATGGGAAGCAGTGTATTGTCTGTAATAGTGTGATGAGGATTGACCTGTAACTGTTTCATCTACCAGTCCAGATTTAAAGGAATCTTGATTGTGTTCCCTTGGTTTTTCTGAAGGCCTGGCATAGAACCCCATAACTTAGGAAAAATAAAGATTGATGTCCGAAGAAAGAACATTTAAGCAAGTTTGTTTCTTGCATTAGCATGGCGTCATATTAGTGGAGTCTTTGAGCTTATCCAACTTTTGTTTCCTAGAATGTTCTTTAGAATACTGGATTTCTGGTGTTTTGCACCAAAAAGGGATCCCCATAGTCAAATGTACTTGCTAACATGTATACAAGCTTAGTATATGCCTGATACTCTTGTAATCACTTTATGTATATTAATTTTTTTATTCATCACAGCAGCTGTAGGGATGAATATTTTTATTCCCATTTTTCAGATGAAAAAGCTTAAGGCATAGGGAGGTCAGTTGTTGAAAGTGACTTAGCCAGTTAATTCAAACCAAGGAACTTTCACTTCAGTCTGGACTGCTATAGAGTCTTGTTAACTCTAATGAGGCTGGAATAAAATGTTTTTCTTTATCACAAAACTTAGAGCCATCAAAACTCATTGTCACCATTTCCCAAGTCTGTTTGACCTTTTTGTCAGGAAAAACTTTGAGACTTGTGTTCTGTAGAGAATATTTGGTAAAATGCTTGTCCATCTTATTTCCTGCTTCTCTCAGATGAGGAAACAAGTACCCAGAAAGACATTTGTGTGAGTCCTGGTGTTATCAAATCAGGGACTAGAATCTAGGCTTGCTGAAGGCCTGTCCAATGCTCTTTCCATTATGTTTTCTCCATGTCATTTGTAAGAAAAGATGTGAATCTAGTGGTTAGACATGTTTAATGGGTTAATGAGCATCAAATGTTACCAGAATATAAGGTGAAGATTAGAGATTTCTGTTGTCTTAAAGGTAGGATACTTTGTGAGCAGATTATATTGTTGGAGAAGAGAAGTCTTTAGTGAGCTGGTATTCTGACAGGATGAGAGGGTGGTTTTGTCAGCAAGGGCTGCCATAGCAAATACCGTATGGGGTGGCCTAAAAACAACAACTTTATCTTCTCACTGTGGCCTCACATGGCAGAGAATGAACTCTGGGGTCTCGTTCTTTTCTTTTTTCTTTTTATTTATTTATTTATTTTTTTAATAGAGGCATGTTTTATTTAGTTTGTTTGTTTGTTTGGTTTATACATGCACTGGGTACAGTCAGAAGCGCGGGAGGGTGAGAGAATTCACCAGAGCCAGAGCAGGGAGCAGAGCAGGCAGAAGGACTGAAGTACACTGCTGAGGGGAGCAGCAGGCGGCAGGAGAGGTCTGCGCGCCATGTGGGACCCTCCTCTGGTGGCCTGGGAGCAGCCGGGGGTCGAACTGGCGCCGCAGAGGCCGCGGGCAGCTACGCAACCCAGCGCTCAACTGCTGTGCCACCGGGGAGGCCCTCCTTCTTTTCTTTTGAGGGCATCAGCCCTTTTGTATTAGAGTCCCACACTTATGACAACATTAACCTTAATTACCTTCTTATTCACATTGGGAGTTAGGCCTTCCACATATGATATTTGGGGAGAACTAATTCAGTTCATAGCAAGGGCCAAATGCGAAGTCGGGAGATAGGCTTCTAACAGTTGTGGATGTCCTAGACTGACAAACTTAAGTTGAATTAAATCATAATAGTTGATGCTGGTATCTTGAATTTATGTGGCACACTTATTCAAACTTTTTAAATCAGATTTTTAAAATATAGTTAAATGATTATTTTAATGATATAATTTTAACTTTGTATTTCAGGAACAGCTTAACGTTTAACACTTTTTTAAAAAGAATTTTTTTGTACCCTCAACCAAACCACCTGTGGTGCTTTGGTGGTGGGAGAGCTTTATATCTGAGGGGAGAAATCATATACTGTCAGAAAATTACCAAGGATGTAAAACAATGGTATTTCATTAAAAAATATAAAGTAAAGAATATAAAGTATTAAAAAAAGAGGAATTAAATAATATATACATAGTGGGGTACTATATAGCTGTGAAGAAAAAATGAAATGTCATTTGGGACCAAATGGATGGACCTTGAGATGATTGTGTTGAATGAAATAAGTCAGAGAATAACATGGTTTCACTCATCCGTGGAATGTAAATACACAAAAACATTCATATGCAAAGAATAGTGGGAATAAATCTTGTACTCAGAAGAAAGAATGTAATGGTCACCAGAGGGGAGGGAGATGGGTATGGGGGAGGGAGGCAGATGAATATGGGCACAGGTAGTTTGGTGGAGGTTATTAATGATGCACTTGCTATTCAAGTATCGATAATGTTAAATTTAAGATTGCTTATGTGAGAATTTCTAAAAGAGAATCTGCATGGTAATTAGATATTTGTGTGAGTTCTACTTTAATTGTGAAGGGCCGCTTCTCACATAATTCTCTTTAATAAAGGGGGTTTTAGATTGCTACCTCAGTATTTTGCTTTTTTCTCATGGTGTTTACGTAGGGATCCTACCTCCACATCATGAGTCCCATGCCCAGGTGATGATGTACCGTAAGGAGCAGTACTCTGATGTCCTTCATGCCCTGAATATCGTTCGCTTTGTCAGTGATGCCACACCTCAGGTTGAAGTCTATCTCCGCATGTATCAGCTGGAATCTGGGAAGTTGCCTCGAAGTCCCTCCTTTCCACTGGTTAGTCAGACGTTTGTTTAACATTTAACTCTAGACTGTCCCTTTTTCCCAGCCTTGATTGTGTCAGTATTGACTAGGAAACATTCAGTGACTCCCTTTGTCTATAGAATAAAAGTAGTACATCTTTTTCTGACATTTATGACCCTGTACATTTTGACCTATTTTCCTAATTTTTAAAATACATTTTATTTAATTTTTCCTTACACACACATACACACACACACACACACACACACACACACACACACATAGTTTCCCTAAATACTTTGAAAATAAGATGCAAAGGCTATATTCCCTTATCTCATATTCCTTCAATGCATTTCCTAAAAGTAAGAACACTTTTCTAGGTAACCATATTATAATTATAGAAATCAAAAGTTGATATAGATACAGTAGTACCTTTTTTTATCTACAGACTCCGTTCAGATTTGACCAGTTGTCCCAGTAAACAGAGAAACAATAAAAAAGTTGGTTCATAACTTACTAAATTTTCTTTTACTTCTTTCCACACTAGTTATAGTGTTCATTGATTATTTAAATTTTTTGAAATGTTTTAACTCTTCCTCTAATATCATTGTAGACATAGAAAAAATTGCAAAAATGTTACAGTGCTCCCTATGTGTAGTGTTCACCTGGCATCCTCAAATATTGCATATTGCATAACTATAGAGTAATTATCAATGCCAGAAAATTTGCATTGAGACAATACTATGAATTAACCGATAGACCTGATTGAAATTTTGCTGATTGTCCCACTGTTGTCCATTTTCTGGTCTAGGATCCAGTATTACATTTATTGCCATGTGTTAGTTGTCTCTAATCTGGAACAGTTCCTGTCTTCTTTTGTCTTCCATGAGCTTGATATTTTGGAAAAGAACTGGCCAGCAGAGTTTCTCTGTTTGGGTTTGTGTGAGGTCTGCTCATGGTTAAAATCTGGTAATTTTGCCATTTATTCGGTAGAGGTATGATACTACTGTTGGTACTGATTTTGATCCTTAGTTAAGGTGGTGTTGGCCAGGTTTTTCCAACAGAAGATTACCATTTTTCCCTTTGTAGTTTAGTATTTTGTGAGGAGATGCTCTGAAACTATAGATAATCCATCCACTGATGCTTTTTACCTGGAACAGTTTACTGTGCTGATTGCCATAAGGTGATTTTCAAACTGCTTCTTTCCTTCTGCTTTAGTTAGCTAGTTGGCATTCTTTTATAAAGAAGAACTTTCCCTTCTCCCACATTTATTTATTCATATCAGTGGGAATTTGTGAATTACTCTTACGCAATGGCCTAAAATTCATAACTACCGTTATTTATTTCGAAGTTGAAGTTGCCCCACATTTCGCCAGTTGATTTCTGTCATTTAGATAATTTTCCATCATTTTGAGTATTTCCTTACTTCCTGGCACAAAAATGTATTCCAGGCTCATCTTCTGTTTTCCTAATTTCCAGACTTGGAATTAATTGCTATCTTAATAAATAAGTAAAACACATTTCATTTTAGGCCTTCTTTCAACTTAATACTTTATAAATTGCCAGAGTAACAAAGTTAGAATTGTAGGGCCTCCCCGGTGGCGCAGCGGTTGAGCGCTGGGTTGCGAGGCTGCCCGCAGCCTCTGCGGCGCCGGTTCGATCCCCGGCTGCTCCCCGGCCACTGGAGGAGGGTCCCACATGGCGTGCAGACCTCTCCTGCCACCCGCTGCTCCCCTCAGCAGTGTACTTCGGTCCTTCTGCCTGCTCTGCTCCCCGCTCTGGCTCTGGTGAATTCTCTCGCCCTCCCGCGCTTCTGACTGTACCCAGTGCATGTATAAACAAGCAAACAAACAAACAAATAAATAAATAAAAACATGCCTCTATTTTAAAAAAAAAAAAAAAAAGTTAGAATTGTAGAAAACAGAGTTCTCTAAGAATGTATAAATGTGGCTGAGGAGGGGAGAAAAGAAAAGGAAAAGGAAGCCCTTCTTTCTTGGACTCCTACCCAGACTAGACACTGGGCTATAATAAGCCATACACACACACATACATATTACATATATATATATATGTGTATATATATATATTTTTTTTTTTTTTAAATGGGATGTGGTATTTAGAAACCAAGAATAGGGTACATTGTTTCTGGTGTGTCATTGCTTCTAGGCCCTCTCAGCAGACAGAGCTAAGAAATATATGTATGTTTAGACATACACTCACATGCTTATATATTTTTATGTATCTGTTTATGTGTTAAAGACCTGAGTTCACACTTATATCTCCAATTCCAATTCAGTATTGCAAGTTCTTTCAGGCCTCATCTGTTTTATATCTGCAACTTGCTTCTTTGACAGTTGCAAATATGAAAAAGCTTCCGTTATGTTCAGTATGCTAACATCTTTGTTCCTTCCTCTGTATATAACTAACACTGCTAATTACATCTTTGTCCCTGGCCTGCAGGCCTTACAGTCTCTGGTCCTTTTACCTATTGTTCATAAAGGGAAAAGAGGGAAAGGGGATGAGGGCAAGCAAAGAGATGCTTATAGTTCTAGCAGTTGGTAATTTTATTTTATTTTATTTTATTTTTTCTTTTTAAAATAAATTTCATTTTTATATTTCCCATACAATTGCAATCCCCTTATTTTGACCCCAATCCCTCCCCCCCCCTCCTCCCCCCCATAGAGTGTCTCTGGTTCATAGTTTTTTGTTGATTGTGATTTTCACTTTCTTATAGTTACTCATTTTCCTGGTCCCTTATTTAAGTTTTCTGGATTCCTGCTATGAGTGAGACCATCCGGTATTTTTCTTTTTCTTTCTGGCTTATTTCGCTCAGCATGATCCCTTCCAGCGCCATCCATGTTACTGCAAATTGCATGTGTTTATCTTTTTTGAATACTGGTGTATATGTACCACATCTTCTTGATCCAGTCATCTATTTTTGGGCATTTGGGTTGTTTCCAAAGCTTAGCTATTGTAAACAATGCTGCTATAACCATAGGCATGCAGGTGCTCTTTGGAATTGATGTTTCTGTGTGCTTTGGGTAAATACCTAGGAGTGGAATTGCTGGATCATATGGAAGCTCTATGTTTAGTAGGTCCAGAAATCTCCACACAGCTCTCCATAGTGGTTGGACCAGTTTGCACTCCCAGCAACAGTGCAGGAGAGTTCCTTTTTCTCCACACCCTCGCCAACATTTGTTGTTGCTAGTTTTTTTAATATGTGCCATTCTCACTGGTGTAAGATGGTATCACATGGTAGTTTTGATTTGCATTTTCCTGATTACAAGTGATGTTGAACATCTTTTCATATGCCTGTTGGCCATTTGCATTTCCTCTTCAGAGAAGTTTCTTTTTAGCTCTTCTGCCCATTTTTTGACAGGATAATTTTCTTTGTTGTTGTTGAGTCTCATCAGCTCTTTGCAGATTTTTGTGATCAGTCCTTTATCATTAGTGTTGTGTGCAAAAAATGTTCTCCCAGTCGGTGGGGTTTCTCTTTGTTTTTGTTATTGTCTCTTTTGCTGTGCAGAAGCTCTTTAATTTGATGTAGTCCCAGCTGTTTATCTTTGCCTTCACTATCACTGCTTTGGGTTATATGTCTGTAAAGATGTCATTGATGTGCATATCACATAGTGTTTCGCCTATATTTCCTTCTATGTATTTTATGGTTTCAGGTCTTATGTCTAGTTCTTTAATCCATTTTGAGTTGATTTTTGTGTATGGTGTGAGGTAGTGGTCAAGCTTCATTCTTTTGCATGTAGCGACCCGTTTTCCCAGCACCATTTATTGAACAAACTTTCTTTGCTCCAATGCATATTCTTTGCTCCTTTGTTGATTAGTTGACCATAAATCTGTGGGTTTATTTCTGGATTTTGTATTCGATTCCATTGGTCTGTGTGTCTGTTCTTGTTCCAATACCATGCAGTTTTGATGATTATGGCTTTGTAGTATAGTTTGAAGCCTGGGAATGTGATGCCTAGGAGTTGGTAATTTTAATACAATTTGTAATTCATTATAGGCATTTTAACTTTTTTAAATTGAAACAATGAATTGTTCAAAAGCGGGACTTGCCTGCAAGCTGGGCTGTTCTGTGAAATTATTTTTTAATTGCAGATTGCAGCCTCTCAGTGTAGCAGTTTGAGCTTCAAATTTTTTCTTTCGAAGTTAATCATGTGATTCCCACAGACCTTAGGCTCATATACTTCAAAAAATTTACCAAGAGAGAGTAATCCAAAAAATAACTCTTCACACACTTCTTTAAGTTTTACTTATCTGGAGCCTCCCTGATGGTGCAAGGGGTTAAGATGCAACACCATGAAGCTATCCGCAGCTACTGCAGCATGAGTTCGATCCCCAGCCAGGGAGGTGACCCACATGGCACAGTAGACCTCTCCTGACTTACGCACTGCTCCCCTCAGCAGTGTATTTCAGTCAGTCTGCCTGTTTTGTTCCCCACTCTGTCTCTGGTGAGTCCTCTCACCCCCCACACCTCTGACCTGTACCCCAGTTCTTGTATGCATGAATAAATAAATCTTTTAAAAAATAATAAGTTCTACAAAGTGAAGTTGGTTGTCCTAAACAAATTCTTGAACTATACATTAAATTAGGTTAGATTATCTTTTAGTTCAAGAAATCTGAATAATAGATTAAAATTTCCATTCCATTCCAGCTCAGCTTGTGCAGGCATAAGCCCAGATAGTACAGCAGGCTGTGGCAGAACTACTGTCAAGTGTTAGGTCTGGCCTCTGTCACCTTGTGTGACCCCAGTCACGGAGCCCCACTTAGCATCTTTGTCTTATCTGTTTGTAAGACTGTGATGGTGCTCAGCATAGGCCCAGGAATGTAGTCTTCTGGGGATGTTGGTCTGCTTCTTGGCTGTTCGAGTGGTTGGGGGCAGGGGTGAGATGGTAAGCTTCCTTTCTCTTTCTCCTTCTTTGCTTCCTTCCTCAGCCACATTTATACATTCTTAGAGAAATTTGTTTTCTTTTATTCTGACTTTGTTACTCTTGGCAATTTATAAAGTATTAAGTTGAAAGGAGGCCTAAAATGAAATACTTTTTACTTGTTTATTAAGATAGCAATTTTGATTTAACTTGCAACTTAGCTGAAGTAGAAAGATACTTTTTACTTTCCTTTTAACATTTTAAAAATTCTTTAGCTGTTAAATTCTAGGTGAAAGTGAAAGTGTAAAGCTGTTTATGTAAGATAATGGTGTTTTAAAACAAAATAGATTTTAAAAATTTATTTATTTATTTTATACAAGAACTGGGGTACAGATCAGAAGCGCGGGAGGGTGAGAGAATTCACCAGAGCCAGAGCGGGGAGCAGAACAGGCAGACAGACTGAAGACACTGCTGAAGGGAGCAGCGGGCGAGGTAGGAGAGGTCTGCCAAGCCATGTGGGGTTCTTCTTGGCCGGCAGGGAATTGAACTGGCACTGCAGAAGCTGCGGACAGCTCTGCAACATGGCACTCAACTGCTGCGCCACCAGGGAGGCCCTAAAATAAAATAGATTTTAGATGTTATAACAATGTCTTGAAATTTATTTGAGGGTTTGCTTGCAAGTTCTGAGTAATGACACGTGGTTGAGAAATGCCATTCTTCTGGTTTTAAGGACATTTTAGCATTTTAGGTATGTGGAGATAGAACAAGGTTCAAAAGGTATTTATGAGTGCTTTGAAATAAAGAAGACTATTAGTTCTCATGGAGTCATTTAACTTTTGCAAATTTACTGTATTGACAAATGTCTCCCAAGTATTATTTGTGCCATTTATCACATCCGTGTCAAAGAAATTTTCTTTTGGGTGGAGAGATTCAACATCGCGCTTGTGATAACATGCTGAATCTCTCATGGCCTCAGTGATAGAGTGTTCAACCAGGAGCCTAGGCATTCATAAGCAATACTCACTCCAGTTGATTTCTCTGGTTGCTCATTTTTATCTCCCCAGGGTCTTCTCGTCTGTGGTGAACTTTGTGCCTTTTGGTCCATTTTGATTTATTATTGTAGCTTCTTCAATATTTAGGGTCCAAGTTTTCATTTTTATTAAAAAAAAAGTATGTTTTTCTCCCTTCTGCTACCTCTCTCATGAGATTTATTATTAATCTTTCAGGAGACAGAAGATGAAGTATTTCTTGCCATTGCTAAAGCCATGGAAGAGATGGTGGAAGATAGTGTTGACTGTTACTGGATCATCCGATGCTTTGTGAACCAATTAAATAACAAGTACCGGGAAGCTTTACCCCAACTGGTGAGGGATGCTTTTTTGGCTGCTGGGTGGTGGGAATGAGCAATAGTCGTGGAGGTGCCCAGCGAATTCTCTTGGTTCTGCTATAATTCTGCGTGGACCCTCTGTAGTAGGAGCTGTAAGTGCTTTCTGTGAAAGGTCAGATAGTAACTTTTTCCAGCTTGGTGGACCAGATGTCTCTACAAAGACAAATAGAGCTGCCATCAACAATACATAAAATAAAGTCAAGCCCATAGTTACCAACCTCTTCTTTGTAATACTCCTTATCCTGATCTAGAATCCACTGGCTTTATCTAGAATATCCCTTTGTATTAGATGAGATTCAAGTGTGACTGATCTAATGGGCAGCTCAAATAACACAAGCTTAATTATTTCCTCTCACATAACCAGAAGTCCTGAGGTAAGGCAGTACAGAGCTGATGTCACAATCCATGTTAGTGAAAGAGATCCAGGCTTCTCTTGGCTCTTTCCTGCTGTATTCTTTGATGTGCTTCTTTCTCTAATGCTCACAAGATGGATACTGGGGTGGAAGTATGACATCCCTGTTATAGGCAGGCAAACTCAGTCTGTCTAGAATGCCTTTCCAAGCAAGCATTGCCTTTTTGTCCCATTGCCAGGGGAATAGTGGAAGGGACAAGCCAGTCCAGCAACCTCATTGTAACAGATTTTCCTTCTGCATAGCTGTTAGTGCAGGGGAAGCTGGAAGTGTGTTTTTTAAAAAGACAGACACATTGTGATCTTCCATCAAAATAGGATTCTGTTACCAAAAAAGGAAATGAGACTGGATACGAGGGAGGCAGCTGTTGCCTGTCATGCTCTGACTTGGAATACAGAGAACCCAATGGTACTTGCTTTGTCAGCACATCCAGGGTCTTTTGCCCTTCTCTTTTTTTTTTAGTTTTTTCCTAATTTCTCTCATTTATAAAATGAATTTGTCTTTTTTCCTTAAATCATTGAGTCTTTTCATTTGAAAGTTCTGTTGAAAGCAGTAAGTGTGTTACAGGGCTCAGGGCCACATGCACCGCCCCGGTGAAGGCTGGAGGATCCCTGAGGATCACTGCTCTGACTATATCAGTTAGCACAGTTGGCAGGATCCTCCAGCTTCATAGAATACTGCAAGAGTGTTATATGTACATATATAAACTTTAGTTTTAGAATTTAAAAATTTAGTGCACTTAGTTGATTTTAATAAAAATAATTTTAAGCATGGCATTATGGCATATGTAAATATAATGTTAAGTTTCCTTAAAAGGTCTAAATTATTTTATAATTTAATTAGTTTTCTTTTCTATTTTTAAAGATTTATTTATTTATTTATACAAGCACTGGGTACAGTCAGAAGCGCGGGAGGGTGAGAGAATTCACCAGAGCCAGAGTGGGGAACAGAACAGGCAGACTGACGAAATACACTGCTGAGGGGAGCAGCGGGCGCGGTAGGAGAGGTCTGCGCGCACCATGTGGGACCCTCGCTGGTGGCCTGGGATCCAACCGGTGCTGCAGAGGCTGTGGGCAGCTTTGCAGCCCAGTGCTCAGCTGCTGCGCCACCAGGGGAGACCCTAAAAATTAATATATTTTTGATAACACAGTAGAGATATTCTTTTTTTTTCCCCCCTAGATATATTCTTAATGTATTAATACAGATGAATACAGTGTTCTCCTAGATCTGTACTAATACCTCCCAACCCCTACTTTCTAAGAAGTAGACATTGTTATCAGCTGTATGTGTTGTTCTGGACTATTTCCTGGTGTTAGGATGGATGGGTGGGTGTGTACGTGGATATGTTTATGGGTGTTTGCATGTACGGGCATATCCATATATACTTCATGATTTCACATGCAGTTTATGAACACATAATTATTTTTTAAAAAACACAAATATTACCACAATGTTCCTACTGTCCTATAGTTTTGTTTTATTTATTTATTTTTTTAGCTTAATGTTTTGGAGAGCTTTCAAAGTCAATAGAGATAAATCAGTAGTTTTCAGCCCTAACTTTCTATTAACACCACTTGGGAGATTTAAAAAATTACCAGTGACTGTCCTCTACCCAGATTAAGTAAGTCAAAATCTCTGGAAGTAAGCCTCCAAAATTCTAATTTTAAAAAGCTTTAGGTGATTTTGAAATGCAGTTAAGTGGTTCCACTCATTTGGAATCACCTCTCTTGTTCCTGTTCAGAATTTGCTGAGTTTTAATATAACAGGTCCATACAGACAGACAACTTGTCCTTGTATATTATATGCTCTTTTGTGTAAATGGATGTTTCTCTACAATGAGTATCTATGAAGTGAGTGCATGTTTGAAGGGGAGAGAGATTTAAACTTTTTTTTATTTTAAACTATCTCCTTTTTAAAAGATTATTTATTTATTTATTTATTTATTTTTTATACAATAGCTGGGGAACAGGCCAGAGGCGCAGGAGGTTGAGAGGATTCACCAGAGACAGAGTGGGGAACAGAACAGGCAGACAGACCTAAAGCACTGCTGAGGGGAGCAGCAGGCGCGGCAGGAGAGGTCTGCCGCCACGTGGGAATCTCCCTGGCTGGCCGGGAATCAAACCCGCGCTCTAGAGGCTGCAGACAACTTCACAGTGCTGTGCTCAACCCACTGCGCCACTGGGGAGGCCCAAGATTTAAATTTTTTAACAACAATTTTTGCTTACCTAAGCATACCCATTTTATACTTCACCCCATAGATGATGAGAATTTCTGTTTTTCACCCCATTGTCAATACTTGATTGTATCGGTCACTCACATTTTTGTTCATCTGATAGTAAGAATGGTTTTTCATTTTAGTTTACATATCCTCACTTTCCAGTGAAGTTGAGCAACTTTGCATATTTATTGATGATTTGTTTGTCCATCTTTCTATTATTTTGTTTGCTCCTCTTATATTTTTAAGAGTTATCAATATACATTACTTATCCTTCATCTGTTACATATGTTGAAAATATTTTCTCCCTGTATGTTTTAAAATGTTTTCTCCCTGTAAAGATTTTAAGTTTTGATGCAATTGGATTTGTTGATATTTTTCTTTTGCTTTTTCCCATACTTTGTTTAGAAAGCTCTTTCTAACGCCAAGATATTATTTTTTTTTAAAAGATTTATTTATTTATTTATACAAGTACTGGGTACAGTCAGAAGCGCGGGAGGGTGAGAGAATTCACCAGAGCCAGAGTGGGGAGCAGAGCAGGCAGAAGGACCGAAGTACACTGCTGAGGGGAGCAGCAGGCGGCAGTAGAGGTCTGCGCGCCATGTGTGACCCTCCTTTGGTGGCCGGGGAGCAGCCGGGGATCGAACCAGCACTGCAGAAGCTGCAGGCAGCTTTGCAACCCAGCACTCAACCGCTTCGCCACCAGGGAGGCTCTGTAACTCCAAGATTTAAAAAAAAACACATGTTTTCAAGGAACTGTTTTCTAAATATTTATTTATTTATTTAAAAAAGATTTATTTATTTATTTATACAAGAACTGGGGTACAGGCCAGATGCATGGGAGGGTGAGAGGATACACCAGAGATAGAACGGGGAACAGAAAAGGCAGACTGATGAAATACACTGCTGTGGGGAGCAGCGGGCGAGATAGGAGAAGTCTGCCGTGCCTTGTGAGACCCTTGCTGGCTGGCCGGGATTGAACCAGTGCTGCAGAGGCGGTGGACAGCTTCACAGCACTGCGCTCAACCGCCTACGCCACCAGGAGAGGCCCTGTCTTCTAAATTTTTAAAACATTTTAAAATTGAGTTCTTTATTTGTCTTTGTGATTGGCATCTGACACAGATTTAACTCATGCTTTGTAAGGTTACCAACAAGACTTCAGCCAGCACATTACTGCTCCTCCTCCTGTTTACCTTTGGTCAACAATATTGAGAACAATATTTCATGCCAGGCAGTGACAAATTTGTTTTATTAATGAATCACATGACTTAAACATATTTTCTGTTTTCACAGATGAGGAAACTGAAGCACAGAACAGTTAAGTAAGGTCCCAAGGTTACATATGTAGCAGTAGAACTACCACCTACATTACTGGTCATTTTATCGTTTTTTGCCACTGATTTGAAATATCACTATCATGTATTAGATTTTCATATATATTTGTATCTCTATTTGGATTCCTATTTTTTCTGTCTATTCTTGGGCCAATGCTACATGACTTATCTAAAATAATTTCCTGACTATTTCAGTAGCTGGTAGGGAAAGGTCCCTTTTATTGTTCTTTTCAAAAGTGCATTGGACTTTATTTTTAGAAATGGCTATTAGAATCAGCAAGGTACTTAATGGACATATAGTCTGTAAGCATTAATTTCATTTTCTAGAAAGGGGTTTGATATGCCTGTTAGTAGTGCCTACCACATAATTGTAAGTAGTGAAGAATTATTTTTTAATTCTTCAGAATCTCTAAGTTAGATTTCCTTTGTGTTGGTTGATTTAGACAAATGATTTACTTCAACTTTTCTCTTAAATTAAACTGTCTCTTACTGTTTTATAAGAGTCTCTCCTTCCTAACTTCTTGTTGTTTTTATGATCTTTTCAGCTTTTTAAATTTTTCTGCATTTACCAAATACATTTATTATCACAAAGGATAGATTGTGTTACAGTCACAGGGAGGTGTGTATGTCATGGGCGACAATGGGTGTGTAAAGAAAATAGAATGTATCTGGAGATGGTGTGTTTACTATGTTGTAGTCTGATTTATAGGATTATATCACATCTTCTCTTACAAACTTTTGGAAATTCTATTCTTTGGTGAGTCCTCATTGCTAAAGAGATTAGAGGCCAACCAGTGGTATGACATGGACTACATATGTTGTTAATCTCTTTTGAGCATTTTATCCTTAAGCCATCTCAGACTTAATTGTACTTACTCACTAAAGCAAGTCAGCTTTCTTTCATTGCTACTACTATGGTTTTTAAAAGTTTTCCTAAAGAAAGGGTTTTTGGTTGTTTATAGATAAATACTACTAGCAGCCTCTTCCTAAGTTTAATATAAAATCTTCTCAGTGGTTAGGTCTCCTTTTCATCGGATTTTGCTTTCTCCTGATGAGGTAAGCTTAGAAATATTGGAAATAACATATGTTTTGCAGTAAACCATAGTTACAATAATCACACCTAACATTTCTATCATTTGTTGTATACTAAAAATTTCAGGCAATATAAATGTTATCTCCTTCCACTAAAAAAAAGTCATGTTTTTGTATTCGTTGTCTTCCTTAGATTTTGTAGTAGCATATGATACATAATTTTCTCCATGCTGCTCTCTTTATCTCAATTGTGTTGGAGAACATGCCATATAAAGACATTCCTTGTTCCTTTTTCTATTGGCCATTTGGAATAGTCCAGTCTTTGCTGATATACTCAGTGTTTCAAGGAAATTGCTTTGTGCATCCATCTTTTTATATGTTTGTCAGTATATTTTTGGGAAAGATTCCCTAGAATGAATTTAAGGATCAAAGGGTAAATGCAGGGCCTCCCCTGGTGGCTCAGCGGTTGAGTGCTGGGCTGTGAAGCTGCCTGCAGCCTCTGCAGTACTGGTTTGATCCCCGGCTGCCGACGAGGGTCCCACATGGCGCAACAGACCTCTCCTGCTGCGACAGCTGCTCCCCTCAGCAGTGTATTTCTTTGTCAGTCTGCCTGCTCTGTTCCCCACTCTGGCTCTGGTGAATTCTCTCACCCTCCTGTGCTTCTGACTGTACCCAGTGCTTGTATAAATAAATAAATAAATCTTTAAAAAAAAAAAACAAACAAAAAACAAAGGGTATGTTATTTTGCAAGATATTTACAAATTTCCCTTCGTAGAACTCATACTCTTTTGCATCCTCACATCCAGTACATGAGATCCTGTTTCCCTACATGCAGCCTTGCCAACATGGTATGTCATTCTTCCAAGTCTAATGGGTGAGAAATCACAACCCATTGTTGTTTTATATTGCATTTCTTTTTTTTTTTATTTTTTACATCATTGTTCATTTTTAAACAATATTTGCTTCCCCCCAACACTCAGGTGTAGCCTCCATAGAATTTCCTTCACCAGTGACCCATGCACCATCACCACAGTCCCCTGTGCTCAACCCTCCCTCCCTCTGATCATTCTCTCTCTTCCTCCCCTGCAGGATGTCTTTGGTTTATAATTTGTTTTTGTGTTGTATTTTGTATTGTTACTACTTTTTTACACTGATGTCTTATTTGGGTCCCCAATATTCCTGCTATAAGTGAAACCATCCGATATTTTTCTTTTTCCTTCTGACTTATTTCTCTGAGCATAATTCCTTCTAGCTCCATCCACATTGCTGCAAATGGCATGAGTTTTTCTTTTTTTTTTGATTGCTGAATAATATTCTATTGTGTATATATACCACATCTTCTTGATCCAGTCATCTATTTTTGGGCATTTGGGTTGTTTCCAGGCTTGTAGCATTTCTTCTGTTATAAGTGATGTTAAATATCTTTTCATATGGAAAAGAACTACTTGCATTTTTTTTTTCTGTAGAATTTTGGGCTTTTCTCTACTTGTAGAAGGTCTTTTTATTTTCTTCTCTACTTGTAGAAGATCTTTCTATTTAGGGATATTTCCTCTTTAAGGTTGTTCATTAACTTGGGAAAATACCCAGAAAATGTTGATGGCAAAGAGCAGAATACTAAGTTGTATATTCAGTATATATTAGTGTTCAACTAATAAAAGAAAAGTTTGTGTGAAATGTATATAGAAAGATAAATGGCTTCTATACAACCTAAATGTTATCATTAGTTGTCTTTGGGTAGTGTGATTATAAGTGATATTTATGTTATTTTTTTCTGTATTTTAAAGATCTTATGTTAAGCATATTATAAAGAAAGGAAAATAGAAAATATTAAGACTGGCAAGAAAGGTGTATGTTAAATGACTATCAAGGTGCTGATTAATGTATTTAAAAGTTTCATTTAATTATTCACTACTCATTTAGCCACTCAGCAGTTATATATTGAGTATTTACTATGTCAGGGAATGTTCCAGGTGATGGATAACTAGCAGTGAACAAAATAAATTCAGTCATTGCCCTCACTGAGTCTGAAAAAGGAAAAGAACAATAAATTAAAATTTTCATTCATTTGAATCTTGTTATTTGTACTGAATTTTGGGTGAAAATTTCTTTGTTGTCAGACATAATATATTAATGTATAATACATAATACATTAATGTGTGAAGGTATATTTTCATCCATGTCACTTTGTGAAAAAATTTTCCATTGATGCAATCAACCAAAATTCTAGAATAAGGTTTTAGAGGTGAAAGGCCAGGGTAGGAACTCTTTGGCAACTTGTACTTCGAAGAAAAGTTCCTGATTTGGATTGTGGTGTGTACAGTTCTTAGGAAACTCTAGGAATTGTTATGTGTTATAGGAAAGTTGAATAGACAGAAAGATATTCATGATCCCCTGAGAGGGGGTAAAACTGAACCAGATATTAATATGTGGACCCCTTTTTGCTTGGCTAACTCCTGTCGGTTCTTTGGGTGCCTGCTCAGAAATTCCACCTCTTCTGGGAAATGTTTCTGACTTCTAAACCTGGGTAAGGATTCCCACCTGGATATCCCCAGCATCTGATGGCTGTCCCCATCATCACTTTATTATAGTTTATTATAATTACCTCTTTACTGCTTTGTCTCAGATAGACTGTAAGTTCCTTGAAGTTGGGGACTTTATCTTTCACTTTATTCCCTGCATGTAGCGTAGTATTGATCATAGTGGACATTGTAAGGATTATGAATTAGCTCATTGACAAAAACACAGAGGTGCAGATATTTAGTCAAATAAAAATTTGAATTTTTTAGGTGACATGGGATCTGGTTGTCTCTTCTGGATAGGGAATATAGACTTTAGGGCTTGAGCCTTGGAGCTCACCTTAGCCAGTGCATCCTCTGTGTGGTATATTTGGCATGGTCCGTGGAACTGGCAGTGTTAACTTTCCCAGTTGACTGCTGCCTCATCTTCTGTACAGATGGAATCCAGGTACTTTTTTCCTTCTGTACATTTTGGGGATGATGGAGCTCCTCCTATGGACATCCCTCTCATGTGAAGCTCCCTGGCATGGTGCACAGTTGACTCAATGTGATCAGCATTTGCTTGGTCAGTGTCTTTTGGTTCCTTTAATCCAACTGTTTGTCTTATTCTTCCTAGCTTCCTTCCTCCACTTTAGTCCTACTGTTTCTTTGGTCTTACCCTTTGTTCCTGCTCTATCTAAAGCAGCCAGGAATAGCATGGGTCTTGGCATCCTAGAACAACAGTTTTGCTTCAGGCTTTTGGTTGTTCTGCTTAGTGCTGACCTGGGAAATTGCTGTGCCAGCAGTGACTTGAATGATTCTCAGGTTTTGTTCTTTAATATTTCTTTGCATTCAGCATGTACTTTTTTTTTTTTTTTCATCATAGGCTGTAAGGTCAGGTAATGTTATGTCACAGGAAATGAGTAATCTCTCTTCCTGTTTAACCAACAGCCAAAGGTGTTTGAACAATACTTGAATTTGGAAGATAGCAGATTGCTGAGTCATCTGAAGACGTGTTCTGCACTGTCCAAGCTTCCCTATGATCTCTGGTTTAAGAGGTGCTTTGCTGGATGCTTGCCTGAATCCAGTTTACAAAGGCAAGTATTTCTTTCAAAGACATACTGAAGGCTTGGAGTTGGAGAAGAATCCTGGTTTATCATGGGACCATCTTCTAGAATATCATTTTGCTTTAGGACAATATACAGTGGCTAGAAACTAACTTATTTTAGTAGCTAACATAACACATGATTCTGCCACTATAGAAACAAAAATATTATAAATATTAATTTGATGTTAAGTTATATTAATACTGGAAATACTGAATGTACAGTTACACCAATTTGAAAGCCATCAGTATATTAACTGTTGCTCAGTATTCAAATCTGAAATGATCTCCAAGAGCTGTATAGACATGGGCTTTTATTTTCTAGAAATATAATAGATCTTAATCTAGAAAAAAAATCTTATTTCTTTTTCTTTTTTTTTTTTAAAGATTTATTTATTTATGCATACAAGAGCTGGGGTACAGGCCAGAGATGTGGGGAGGGGGTGTGTGAGAGAATTCACCAGAGTGGGGAACATAACAGGCAGACTGACTGAAATACACTGCTGGGAGGAGCAGTGGGCGAGTCAGGAGAGGTCTGCTGCACCATGTGGCTTGCTCCCTGGCTGGCCAGGGATCGAACTCATGCTGCAGAGGATTGCTTCATAGTGCAGTGCTTAACCCCTTGTGCCACCAGGGAGGCCCCCCCCCCAAAAAAAAAAAATCTTATTTCTTAGTTGTCATAATAACATCTTTAAAGTTTATGAAGGCCTTAAAGATTGAAAACTCAAACTCAGCCTTTTCATTAATTTCAGACAGTGTGGTGAGTATTTTCGAATCCTAACCCTTCCCCCTAAGACTTGAAGATGCAGTTGAGAAGGACAGACAACAAACATTACATGAAATCATACTAAGTACATAGAGCGTAATACTAACTTAAAGAGTTATAGGAATTATCAGAATAATTATTTTAGAATGATTACAAATAAGGAACTAGCTCTCTTAAATTCTTGGAAGAGTTTAAGAAATTTGAAAGTGAGTAAATATCATTTCATGTATTTTTTTGTTGTTCCTTAGTATATGATGATTACATTAGCATTATAAAATATTAGTAAAATCTAAACTTTGGTTTAGAACTTTCCTTTTATTCCCCAAAATGTCAGGTATAAAATAGTAAGTAGGGATGGGCATTTTGGTGGGTATCTAGCAGAGATGACCTTTTAAAAATTTTATTTAATTTTGAGAAATTAAAAATTGCCTATATATTGGGCCGCCCCGGTGGCACAGCGGTTGAGTGCTGGGTTGTGAAGCTGCCCGCGGCCTCTGCAGCGCCGGTTCAAATCCCCGGCTGCTCCCCGGCCACCAGAGGAGGGTCCCACATGGTGCGCAGACCTCTCCTGCCTCCCGCTGCTCCCCTCAGCAGTGTACTTCGGTCCTTCTGCCTGCTCTGCTCCCTGCTCTGGCTCTGGTGAATTCTCTCACCCTCCTGTGCTTCTGACTGTACCCAGTGCTTGTATAAATAAATAAATAAATCTTTAAAAAAAAATTGCATATATGTTAGACAACTTAAGTTTTACTAATTTTAGATACATGGTGTACATTAGGTTTTTAGAGCTTATTCATTTTTATTTTTATAGTTGGAAGATTATTTTTATAATTGAGATAACATTGGTTTATAACTCTATGTAATTCAAAGGCATAGGCTCACACCTACTCAGATTCTTGTCACCATACCACACCTACACAAAGGCACCCACATTCCTCTACCATAGTGTACTGTGCCCCCTTCTCCCTCTTTTTTCTTCCCCTCCTTCCATCCTTGTAGCCCTGATAGTTTCATAGTCAGATTTTTATGGTTTGTTACTGTTTTTTTTTTCAAGATTTATTTATGCATATAAGAACTGGGGTACAGGCCAGAGGTGTGGGGGGTGAGAGGAGTCACCAGAGACAGAGTGGGGAACAGAACAGGTGAATTGACTGAAGTACACTGCTGAGGGGAGCAGCAGGCGAATTAGGAGAGGTCTGCTGTGCCATGTGGGTATCTCCCTGGTTGGGGATCGAACTCATGCTGCAATGGCTGTGGATAGCTTCATAGGTTGCATCTTAACCCCTTGCACCACCAGGGAGGCCCAGTTACTGGTTTGGTTTTGTCTGATACTTTGTTTTGCTTTTTGCTTCTCTGTATTCCACATATAGGTGGAACCGTCTGGTATTTTGTTTCTCTTTCCAACTTATTTCACTGTAGTGTTACCCACTACAGTTCCATTTATGTTGTTGCAAATTGCAAGAGGTCATCTTTTTTACAGCTGTGTGGTATTCCACTGTGTATACATTGTGTGTATGATGTATGTATATATGCATACACACACATATCACATTTTCCTAATCTGCTCCTCTGTCTTTGGACACTTAGGTTGTTTCCATAATAGTCAAGTGAACACAGGACTACATATATCCCTTCAAATTCATGTTTTTGCATTCTTCATGTAGATACCTAGGAGTAGAATTGCTGGATTATATGGTACATCTATTTTTAATATTTTGAGAAACCCCCATACTGTTTTTTTTTTTTATAGATTATTAATATGTTTCTTTTTTTCAAGATTTATTTATTTATTTATACAAGCACTGGGTACAGTCAGAAGTGCGGGAGGGTGAGAGGATTCACCAGAGCCAGAGTGGGGAACAGAACAGGCAGACTGACGAAATACACTGCTGAGGGGAGCAGCGGGCAGCAGGAGAGGTCTGCGCGCCATGTGGGACCCTCGCTGGTGGCTGGGGATCGAACCAGCGCAGCAGAGGCTGGGGGCAGCTTTGCAGCCCAGCGCTCAACCGCTGCGCCACGAGGGGAGGCCCCCCACCCCAATACTGTTTTTCATAGAGGCTGGGCCAGTCTACATTCTTACTGAGCGCGTGCAAGACTTCCTTTTTCCCTGTATCCTTGCCAACACTTGTTTTTGGTCCTTATGATATGGGCCATTCTCATATCATTCCTTAATAATAAGTGATTATGAGCATTTTTTCATGTGCGTGTTGACCATCTGCATGTCTTATTTGGAGAAGGGTCTATTTAGCTTTTCTGTCCATCTTTTGATTGGACTATTTGTTTTCTTTATGTTAAGTTGAATGAGTTCTTTATTTACATTGGATATCAGCCCTTTGTCAGATGTATGCTATGTAAATACTTTTCTCCCATTTAGTAAGGTGTCTTTGTTTTACTGGTAGTTTCTTTCACTGTGCAAGAGCATTTTTGTTTGTTGTAGTCCCATTTTTATATTCACTATTGTTTCTCTTCCTGTTAGAAATTATTCCACAAGAAATTACTGAAGCCAGTTATGGAGTGTTATGCCAGTGTTTTCTTCCATGAATTTCACATATTTCATGCATTCATATATTTAATACATTTTGTGTTTATCCATTTTGTGAGATGGTGATCTAGTTTCATTCTTTTGCATGTTGCTGTCTAGTTTTTCCAACACCATTTGTGGAAGAGACTCTCCTTTCTCCATCATATACTTTTGACTCCTTTGTTGCAAATTTATTGTCCATAGATGTGTGGATTTATTCTGGGCGCTCTATTTTGTTGGTTTTTGTGTCGGTTTTGGTTTAGTACTGTACTGTTTTGATTACTTTGGCTTTGTGGTATAGTGTTGAAGTGTGATAATATCACTCTTTTTTTCCCTTATTACAATATATTATACTTCTGCCATTTTATTATTTTTTATTTTACATATTTTTTTGCACATCATCACTTTCTCTTTTTGTCAGGATTGTTTTGGTTGTTCAGGATTACTTTGGCTAATTTTGTGTTTACATGTGAATTTCAATAATGCTCATTTTGTTTCTTTGAAGAATGCTTTGGAGCCTTGATAGGGAATGCTTAAACCTATGTATTGCTTTGTGTAAGATGTCCATTTTTATAATGTTACTTTTTCCCATTCATGGGCAGGGAATAGCTTTCCATTTTTTGGTCTTTTCTGTTTCACTGTCTTAGAGTTTTCACTGTATAGGTCCTTCACCTCCTTTGCTAAGTTTACTCCCAGTTATGTAATTATTTTTTTTAAAGATTTATTTATTTATGCATATAAGAACTGGGATACAGGCCAGAGGTAGGCGGGTGGTGAGAGGATTCACCAGAGACAGAATGGGGAATAGAACAGGCAGATTGACTGAAATACACTGCCAAGGGGGAAAGTGAGCAAGTCAGGAGAGGTCTGCTGTGCTATGTGGGTAGCTCCCTGGCCAGGGATCAAACTGGTGCCTCAGTGGCTGTGGATAGTGTCATAGATTGCCACTTAATCCCTTGGCTACCAGGGAGGCCCAGTTATGTAATTATTTTTGATCCAAATGTGAATGAAATTTTTTTCTTGATTTTTTTTTGTCTTCTAGCTCATTATTTGTATATAGAAATATGACTGATATTTATAAACTGATTTTGTAGCCTGTCCCTTTACTGTGTTGATTTATTATTTTGTTAATATTTTAGTATAGTCTTCAGGGTTTTCTATATATATTGTCTTGTCATCTGCAAGAAGTGTTAGTTCTACTTACTCCTTTCCAATTTGAATTCCTTTTATGTCTTTCTCTTGCATTATTACTCTTAACTAGGTCTTCCAATACTATGTTGAATGGTAGTGGTGAAAGTGGACATCCTTGTCTTGTACCATATTTTAGAGGAAAAACTTTCAATCCTTCATCATTGAGTATGATGTTAGCTATGGGTTTGTCATATTTTGTGTTAAGGTATATCCCAGTTTTTGGATGGTAAATCTTATCAAATGCTTTCTCTGCATCTATTGATGTGATCATAGGACTTTTATGAGTCCTTTAGTTAATGTAGTGAATTACATTGATTGTCTTTTTATACTGAACCATCCCTGTGTCCCTGGAATAGTTTCTACTTGGTCATAATATATTATCCTTTTGAAATAAGTTGGCTATGATTTTGTTGAGGATTTTTGCCTCTAATTGGCCTGTAGTTTACTTTTTTTGGTCCTGTCTTTGTCTGGTTTTCATATCAGAGTGATGTTGGCCTCATAGAATGTGATTAGAAACATTTCCTCTTTTTCATTTTTTTGAAAGCATTTGAGAAGGATAGCTTTAGTCCTTGAAGGTTTGGTGTAATTCACGAGTGAAACCTGTGCCTGAGATTTTGCTTTGGGAAGACTTGATTCCTGTTTCAGTGTCCAGCTTGTGAGTGGCCTGTTCAGATTTTCTATTTTTTCCTGATTCAGTCTTGGAAGGTTGTAAATGTCTAAGAAAAATTGTTCATTTCATCTAGGTTTTCAATTTGCTAGCATATAGATGTTTGTAGTAGTTATTTCTGATACTCTGAATTTCTGAAATCTCTGTTGTGACTTCTCTTTTGCTTCTGATTCTACTTATTAGAAATTTCTCCCTTTTTTCATAGTCTAACTCCATGTCTGTCTCTCTTGTTGATTTTTTTTTTTTAAAGACCCAGCTTTTGGTCTCACCGATTCTTTTGGACTGTTTTTTTTTTTTTTTTATTTCTAGTTTGTTTATTTCTGTTCTAATTTTTATTGCTTCTTTCCTTCTGCTGGATATTGGTTTTTTGTTTAGTACCTTAAGATGAGAGGTAAAGTTGTTTATTTAAGCTCTTTCTTGTTTCTTGATGTATGCCTATATTGCTATATACTTAACTCTTAGTACTGCTTTTGCTGTGTCCCATAGATTCTCATAGATCGTGTCTTCATTTGAATTCTTCTTCATGTATTATTAATTTCATCTTTGATGTCCTCATTTATCCAGTGGTCATTCGGTAGTGTATGGTTCACTTTCCATCTTTTAGAGGTTTTTTTTACTGTTTTTTTTGGTGGATGGTTAATTTCTACTTTGATACTATTGTGATAAGGTAATATATTTGATATAATTTGAATCTTCATTAATTTATTGATACTGTTTTGTGACCCAAAACAGAGAATATTCCATGGTTACTTGAGAGAGATGTGTTCTCAGCTTTTTGGGGGTGCAGTAACCTATAACTGTCTATTAAACCCATGTTTCAGTCTATTGTTTCCCTGTTGACTTTGTGTATTATTGATAGTTCCATTGGTGAAAGTTGTTGAAATCTCCTACTACTATTGTGCATGTCTGATTTCAGATATGATAATCTTTGCCTTATATATTATGAACTCCTTCATTTGGTGTGTATGTACTAATGATGTAATATCAATATTTGATGTATTGATCCCTTAATCATTATATAGTGTCCACTGCAGAGATCATGTTTTAGTAATCATTCCATTCTTCTTGCCAGTGTTGTGTTGGAATAGATTTTAGATGGATGACCTTTTTTTTTGGCAGGGAGGGGAGAGTATTATTTCTTTATAGTTCTTTCCTGAAGCTTGTAATTAAAATGTAAGGGGTAATAGATTCTTTAGTGATTTGAGATATCTTGGTAAACTGATTTCAAACTCATGTAATTTGATTATGTCTCCATTTTTTGCAGAGTTTGGGATAAAGTTGTAAGTGGATCCTGTAAGATTCTAGTTTTTGTAGCTGTGGAAATTTTATTAACCTTTAAGATAAAAGTAATGGCATTGAACAGTGCAGAGAAGATAACAAAGTTTCTGGAAAATGTAAGTATTCTTTATTTGATTTGATTTTGAATCTAGGAAAAAAATCAGCCTAGCAAGCCAGATTTTCCTCTTGCATTATGTTATTTCAGAGAAATAATGTGTTTTTACATTATAGCAAACATTTTTTTCCTTTGAAGTGTTTAACTTAAAGTTGGTTGATAGGTTATAGTTGGCATCCTCTGTTTGGGGGTTTGAACAGGGAGACTATGTGCATTTAGGATCAGGATTTAATCCCCCCATGTAACTACAAGAAAAGAAAGAGGTAAACTCTATCACTTTAGGATCAGTAATCTTTGTTAGTGGAAAATGAAGCCTGGTGTTTTGGGAGATTTTTGTAAGCCCTTTCATTTCTGTTACTGTCTCTGATAGAGTCCCAGTTGGTTTTATTAATGTGCTAAGTGTAACTTTTGTGCATGTTGAAAGAGGTCTAAACAAATTAGCTTTTCCTTCTCTATATATCTTAGAATATTCTTAAACAAAAGAGAGGTAGAAGAGATCTATTCCTTAAGGAATTTCACTGGACTCCAAAGTTTAGTCTTTTTTATTTTAACCAGTGGCCTGATAAATAAAAAGCAGTAAGTGAATGTGTATTACAATGATAAATCATCATTGTAATAATTAGTGGCTAATAGTGCTAGAATCTGTGCTAAGTATATTTTTCATGAATGAGCTCATGCTGTCCTATAAATAGCCCTATGAAGCAGGATTATCATTTGCTTTGTTGTAGAAGTGGGATCTGAACCTAGGTAACCTTCCCTGGGGCACATACAGTTAGTGAGAAGTGCAAAATTTTAATCTAGGCAGTCTGACCCCAGAGCTTATCAAGTAGCGTATAAAGAAAAGATGTGATCAACTTCTGAAAAACAGTGAAGACTATAGTGGAAATACATTTTATCCTGTAGTGAGTGAGGGAGATAGTAAAATAGTAATGTGGAAATTTCATGAAATCTGGTTTGCTTTTCAGATTCCTCAAGACAGCTCAGATGCGATTGTGAGCAAGGCTATTGACTTATGGCACAAACACTGTGGGACTCCAGTACATTCATCCTGAACATACCTGATGGTTGTGGTCAGTCAGAGGCCTGCCCTGAGCATTTTGTTAGTGGAACATATCCTAAACTGGTTGAAAATAGGGTTCTTGCTTTGGTGCTCAAAGTGTATATTTTTTATTGCCAGTAAAATTATTGAATTAAGCTACCTGTTGTTGCTGTGTTCTGGAGCAACATTTTCTTGCCACACAGAAGTACAATGTTCTTCTCTGAATAGCATTTTAAGAGTTGTTTGAAAATAGCTTCCCATTTTTGAATCAGTTCTGTCAGGGTGGGTGGGTGCTGTGAGAAGCAGTGCATAACCAAGCCTGCTCTGCTTCTCTCTAATTAGTACCAAGCTAGTTACTTTTCTAAGGTTTATTTCTGGAATACCGAACAACTTCCTTTTGTTGACAACTCAGATTCATCTTTTGTTGATGCAGTGCTTGTTTAAATCTAAGCTGACTGCTTTCTGAGGGCTCGCCCTGCTAAATAGGTTTATAGAAAGGCCTTAGATATTTTTTCCTTCTCTATGCCAGTCAGAATGGAACAGTTATTGAACAAAATATCTAAATTTTCCTACCAGGAGAAAGAGTTCTTGTTGCATTTTTCTGGACTCGTTTTTTTCTGATGGGTCATTAAATGTTGGGTGGACTTCAGGGAACACTCTGCCACCCAGAATAGGAGTGGGAGGAATGGCAAGGTAAGGTTAGTAGTGGATGATCCCCCGGGCCATACTGTGTCTGTAATTGTCATTGTTCATTGGACACTTGCAGCCTTGGAGACTGGTGAGACAGGACCCTTATGGACGACTGACTCAGCTATGAGACCTGCAGGAGCCTGAGTGGCAAGTTGGATTCTCTACCACACCCCCAAGAGATGAAGGAGACAATGAAATTATGGAATTACAATTCTGAGAATTCAGTCCCTCCCTAATGTGGAAAGAGTCTATTGAGAAAAAGTGCAGAGCAAACTGAGTTGCTGAAACTAGCTGTTCTGAACAGTAACATATCCAAGAGTATTTAATTTTTTAAAATGAAATATAGTCAGAAGAAAATTTCTTAAAGCTGGTTACAGATAATACTTTAAAAAAATGATTTGTGGCTAGCCATCCTTTGAGTATCACTTCTGCCCCTGAGAAATTTTAAGTCTGCTTGGGGGTATAAGAAAAACCCACGAGAAGGAATTTCTGCTCCATTTGTCTGCTATCTTGTGATCTTAGGAGGTATGTGAAATTCGTGAGAAGTCTTGAAACAAAAATAATTTTATTTCAATTTATGAGTCACATAAATTGAGTCTTTCCCATAAAATAGAGTGATGTTATTGAATTCCAACTCCAGAATAAGGAGAAAAAAGGATTAGCAGTCTCTCAACAAGGGGTAGTTTCATGGTACTTGCTCCTCTTTACTTACCTCTTAAATGCTGGGAGGAGATGTAGCTGAGAGCATCCTCCCCAGCACCCCTGGGGAGGGGTGAGTGACAGGGGCCCTTGAACTCTTGGAAAGGAGGGAGACTTAGGGAATCGAAGTTCCTTTTCACAGTTTTGAGGGGAACAAGATGACCTTCGAGGGAGCACTATTACTACTGTGCTGTGAAAATGAAAAACACTTGTTTTGCGAGTGTGTTCTGTCAGACCCAGTTTGGTAGACCCTTTCTGGCTATAGGCAGTGGGGCAAGGCTTTATTTTTTAAGTGAGTCAATCTGATACCATCAAGAGTTTTCCTTATTAGAAAACTAAGGGATCTATTTAGCACACGGATTTTTTAAGGTCCACTGTAAGGACAGTGGTGGTGTAGGTGAAGATTCAATTTCATCTTAATACTAGAATTATATTTTGCTGTGGGCCAAGTATTTTGAAAATGTTTTTGCCCACTGCCTTTGGGAAAGGAAAGCACAACCCCTGATGAAAATATCTGCATGTTCTCTTTACTCAAACAGTTTTTTCAGGATGCTGCAGAATTTTTCCTTGATGTTAAAGCCCTGCCGGGATTCTGTTCTGTCCACATGGTCATAGCTAATGTGTGGGGTTCTCCTTCTCCCTTGGAAAACTGGGACTTGACATGACTAAACTTAGTTTCTAGTTCTTTTCTTCTACAGTGTCTTCATAAGTCCTGGTGAGAATGGTTCTAAATATGCTCTGTAGGAGCTGTTGGGGGCCAAGGTGGGTGGGAGTGGCTTTTACCCGATGACAAATCAGAAGCGCAAATTGTAACACTGTACATGCAGGTGTGTGGGTGTGTCTGAGGATGCTTCAGAAAACATAGGCAGAATGAAGGAAGTAGGTTTTTTGGTTAATGGAAAGTTTGCCTGGAAATCGTGGGACCATACTCAAAGCACATGATGTGAGAAAACTCTGAAGGCCATTGTCCTCTGGTCCTCGGGTGTGAGATTTGCTCACCTATCTTGAATTCTTAAGAATCCTTCTTTGAAGATGTGGTACATATACACAATGGAATATTACTTGGCAATCAAAAAAGGTAAACATATACAATTTGCAGCAACATGGATGGAGCTGGAAGGGATCATGCTCAGCGAAATAAGCCAGAAAGAAAAAGAAAAGTACCGGTTGGTCTCACTCATAGCAGGAATCTAGAAAACCTAAATAAGGGACCAGGAAAAAGAATAACTATAAGAAAGAAAAAATCAAAATCAACAAACAACTATGAACCAGAGACACATTATGGGGGGTGGGGGGGGCGGGGAAAGGAGAAATTGGGGTCAAAATATAAGGGGGGTGCAATTGTATGGGGAATATAAAAATTAAAAAAAATAATGCATTAAAAAAAACCAACAAATCCTTCTTTGGCCCCAACCTGTCACCTGTCATGTGGTCATCACCTCCCCACCATAACTTGAGCTTTAGTTTTCCTCCCTGAAAGTGAAGAATTTGCATGAAGCCTGGGACCAGGTAGGATAAAAATAGAGCATATGTGCCCAGGATTGGATCTGAAGACAAGACTCTTGCCCCCAGTGACGGCTGCTGCCCGTGCTATTAAAGTTCAAGCAAGAGTGTCGTACTCCAGACCTGGCAGCCTTGGGAGGGCAGTTGCCTCACCGTCTGGCTCTGCAGTTTGCAACTGCCAGTTGTCACTTACTTTGTCTTTAGCTGTGTGTTCTGGTTGGGAAGAGCTAGAGGACACTTCTTGACCAAGAGGGGAGTGTGGGAATCTTGTAGCAGGAGTTACTGGCATTTCCTCTTGTAGAAGAAACAAAGAGCTGTTTCTCCTGTAGACTCTGTGCCAAATGAAACTGCTTGTGGCTCTTGGCACAAGCCGCTCCTCTCACCATCAGTTGTTGCTTACCCAGAGTTGGTGCCAGTTTGAGTAGAAGGGAGGGTGAGTGAAGAAAGAGGGGTGGTAAGAACAGAGAGGTGGGCATTTTTCTGGAGGATCACAGGATGAGGTAGGGTTGCTGTTCTGCTTTCCTGACCAGCACCTCCCTTTTCTTTCAGGTCTTTCAGCCTCACCTTATGGAAGTGACATTCCCCACCTTACTCTTAGGGTTGGTTTTATTGCAGGTTAACCAAGCCATGAGGATGGGGTGAGGGGATAGGAGACTTGATCAGGAAAGGATGTGGGAAAAAACCTTCAGGAAGCTGTCCTGACTGAGGAGAACTTCAAATAGAGTATCACAGAAGTGCTTAGTTCAGACCTCAAAGTCATCCTAAAATGTAGGTGATACTGTACTGTAGAGTTTATCAGTAACTTAGACACATGAGTACTTGGCCCTGCTGACACTCACTGACCTCTGAGTCACCTGCTTAACCTCTTTCTGGTCTTCCCCCCTTAGCCCTTCTTTTCCTCAGGTGCTAACAAGTAGCAGCCCTGTCTTGTGGGTCAGTTTTGCCTCTCTACTCCCCTCTGCCTGCCCTCTGGATGTGTTGCTCTAAAGTTTCATGAGAGTCAGTCATGAGGAGATGCTGTTAAACTTTCCACTCTGAATCACTTAGTCTTTTGTTCATTCGTCTTTCATCATGAAATAGATTTGAATGCATGCCTAATTTACCAGGTACTGACTTAATTGCTGAGCAAGTCTTATGGTGTCTGCCTTCTTGGAGCTTGTAATCATGCAGGGAAGACCAGTGGTAAACAGCTGGGTATTTTGTTATCAGTCTTTTTTTTTTTTTTAAAGATTTATTTATTTATGCATACAAGATCTGGGGTACAGGCCAGAGATGCAGGGGGTGAGAGGATTCACCAGAGACAGAGTGGGGAACAGAACAGGCAGACTGACTGAAAAGCATTGATGACGGGAGCAGTGGGCGAGACAGGAGAGATCTGCTTCGCCATGTGGGGTGCTCTCTGGCTGGCCGGGGATGGAACTCGTGCTGCAGAGGCTGTGGATTGCTTCATAGTGTGGTGCTTAACCCCTTGCGCCACCAGGGAGGCCCTTGTTATCAGTCTTTAAGGGCACCTTTCAACACCTGAGCTTCTATAGGGACAGGGTGACTTGGGTTGGCAGATGATTCAGAGGCAGGTTAGAAATACTCTGAGATGCATGGTTCTTTGCTGCTTTTATTAATGGAAGAGATAGCAGAGGGATTGTGGCTATGGGGCTTACAGGGATGAGGTGTGGGGATGGGGCTGAGTCTCTGCCTCTCTCACTAGTTCTGTGACCCCAGGGGATCACTCTGTGTATGTCTTAGTTGTTCCAATGTCAGACAGGAGTTCTGTTATACTCTTTTTTTTTTTTTTAAAAAATTTATACAAGAACTGAGGCACAGGCCAGAGGTGTGAAGCATGAGAGAATTCACCAGAGACTGGGGAACAGAACAGGCAGATTGACTGAAGTCTACACTGCTGAGGGGAGCAGCAGGCGAGTCAGGAGAGGTCTGCTGCGCCATGTGGGTAGCTCCCTGGCTGGGGATTAAACTCATGCTGCAGTGGCTACAGGCAACTTCATAGGTTGCGTCTTAACCCCTTGTGCCACCAGGGAAGCCCAAAATCTCTTACACTCTTTACCCCTCAAATAGAGTGAGCATCATGCTTGTGAGCATCAGTGAGCTTAATGTGAAATCATATTAGGAAGCGTGGAACTCTATGGGTCATTGAGTTTTAAAAAGCATGGTTTGCCACTGTCTGGCCAGGTATTTGGGTTTGTGTTATGCTTAGGGTTGGCTTGGCCCACTCTCAAAAGTCTAGTCAACTCCCAAGATGGAAGGGCATCCCCCTTCCTTGGAGCATCTGTGACATTTCAGGCGCCATTTATTTAGCAATAATCGTTCAGATATCATTCTTTGATCATCTTGAATTTCTGTTGACCTTTCTATGAGGTTTTTCTCTAAAATGCAAGCTTCAGTGGCCAGGGTCTGTCTGGTTTCTTTTGCACATTCCGCTTTACTTGGAAGCCAGGCTACCCTCTTTGCCAGAAACATCCTCTCCCTGATGTGGGACTACATCTTCTTGTCTCTAAGATTCTGCTCAAGTATCACCTCCTCCAGGAAGCTCTCCTGGCTCTCAGACTTTTCTCCCCCAGGCTTCTTTCCATTCAGGGTGCTCTGTATCCTTTCTATCACATTAACTATTTGGTTTAGAATGACCTATTTCTTTTCCATACTAGATCCTTGGGAGTAGAAATTTTGTCTTACTCTGTTTTTCTTTCCCTCAGTGACAGGCACCTTTCCGAGCCCTCCTGGGCCACCCATATGTATTCTTGAATTAGTGAATGCCTGGCTCTGTGTTGATGAAGACTCCTCTAGTGATCAAATAGAATTGTTCCTGAACTAGCGTGCTGGAAAGAGATTTTATTAAGGATGTAGGGTTGAGGCTCAGAAACTGAGAGGGTAGGTCTACTAAACTGAACTCCCTCCTATTATTGTTGGTCTACTCTTTGTGTCTCCTGCATTCTTCTCTCCGTGGTCTGGATTGCTTTGGTGGAAAAGATTTACCCCAGAGCCTAAGCACATATATTACAGGTTAAACCTCTGGAGACAAGAGTCTCTTACCCCAAGATCCTAAATCTGTGGGAAAGAGGCTGTGGCCAGCTTGGTCCTGGCATGGCCCATGGTGCCATCATTGGTAGACATGGAGCAAGGGGTCATGCAACAGACATGTCCATGGCAGTGCAGGAGTGGTCAGGGAGGGGTAGTGTGAAAGGGTCTGTGGTGACCTGGGGAAATGCTCTCAAAGGCTCTCCACTCCATTTAGCACATCTGCCAGTTGGCTGTGTGCCCTGCAAAGGTGGCAGGAGGGCAACAAGGCACTTCTGCCTTCTGAGTGGCTTTTCCATCACCACTGCTTTCTGTGTTCTGTCAACCAGTCTTGAGGGTGGGATGACCAGCCCTTTCAAATGGAGGCAGGCAGAGTAGAAATACCCCACTGGCAGCTTTGGCAGATGGTGACTCACATGGCCAGGTGAACATTTCCAGTCAATTCTAATTCAAGAGTGTGGAGGTCACCCTGCACCCTCTCATCATATAGTTTAGAAAGATAAGATAGGGAGTGGTAAAGTAGAATATGCAAGGGAATTGTTGGTGACAAGGAGGCTCTAGAATCCAGGCGTCTAGATTCCCTGTCTAGAGCAAACTTCACCAAGCTACTCCCTCATCCTGAAACACTGTCCCTGTCTGTTCTCTGAGTCTAAAAAATTTCTAGACAAGAAAACTGAGTCATCGCTCTGGAGGGATAACCTGCAGTATATCCTCATCTATAAAATGGGAGTGTTGCGTAGTGATAGCAGCCACCTCCCAGAACTGTTAGGGGATCAAGTGCAGTGCCTGGTGGAGAATAAGCAGGCAGTGAGTAGTAGGTAGTAATGCCTCACATGTGATAACATTAAAAATGCACCTTCTCCTGGGAGAGTTGTTCTTGTTGTAGTTATAGTCTCATGATAGAATAAATATCGTTTAGTAGGTTGCTTTCTGAGAAGAGGTATTTTAGGAGATTAGAGACTCACTGTGGATTCATTAGGTCACTGCATTTGAACAGGGCTTCTTAAACTTTAAAGTGCATGGGAATCCCCTGGGGCTATTGTTAAAATACAGATTGAGACTCTGGGGTGGGTCTGGGGTTCTGTATTTCTAATATGTTCCTTTGAAGATGCCAATGTTGCTGATCCCTGGGGACTGCAGTTTGAGAAGCAAGGACCTAGGGTATGTAGAATTCACTCAGTACAAAGTTTAACCCTCACTGCTAAATAAATATGCTAGAGAGAATGCCACCTGTCTGTGCTCAGTTTCTCATTTTATATCATTCCGATTTCATTTTTAAGTGATGGTGGGGATACTGCTAGATGTGGTAAAACACTTCGTCAAAGCCTGAATATCATCTTAGTACTGAGACATGGATGTTTTTGATGAATTGTTCCCTCTCCCTGCAGGATCACTGGAAGTAGTTTCATACCTTCTATATCCTTATCACAAGACACCTCATTACCAAGGATAGTTCTGTGGCAGCTAATCAATCACCTATCCAGTAACTATCCTTCCCTTCTTGTGTTAATAGATCTTCATTCTGTTCTGTTTTACAAATAGATGGGAAGAAGGGAGTTTGAGTGTTTGGGTAGGACTTTCAGAAAAGTCTTATAGAGGATTTACTAAGCTGGTAGGCAACCATTCCTTTTATTTATTTTTTACCTTTCCTTTTACTTCCTGCCTGGAACACATGCATAGTGACTGGGAGCTCCAGCAGCCATCTTGGAACATGAGGCATCCTTGAGGATAAAAGCCACG